TATGTATGATTATACTACATTACTGCCAAGGGCCTTTCCAACAATAAAATTAAACAATTTTGTGACTTGAGATTTGGAGACAGCCAGAAAGCAGTTTTGGAATTGGGGAAATATCATTTATATATTTAGAAAGAGAAATTCTTATGAAGTTATTCATTAATTGAACAATTTCTTTTTCAGTGCCTAGTGTGTGCTAGGCCCTCTTAGATGGAGATGCATCAATGATCCAAATAGCAAACACTATTTTTAGGGAACTAAAATTCTAGTTTGGAGGAGACATAGAACAGACAATGAAGGTAAGAAATAAATCAACTGGCCAGGCGCAGTGGTGCATGCCTGTAATCCCAGTGCCTCAGAAGGCTGAGGCAGAAGGATACAGAGTTCAAAGCCAGCCTCAGGAAAAATGAGGCACTAATCAACTCAGTGAGATGCTGTTTCTAAATAAAATACAAAATACTGCTGGGGAATGTGGCTCAGCTGAGTGACCCTTAGTTCAATCCCCAGTACCAAATAAATAAACAAATATATACACAAATCAACTGTATGGTACTATAATATATTATAGGGTAAATGCAATGGAAAAAACAAAAGTAGAGAGAAGTAAGGAGGACGGAAAATGTGGTAGTTAGTTGATTGGGAAGGGGTGAGCAGGTAGCAGTGTTAAATAGATTGATGAGAGACAATATCATTAAGATTTGAGGGAGAGAAGGGAGTTAACCAAATGACATCTAGGGGAATAACAATGCACACTGCACAGCTAATGCCGAAGCCCTAAGATAGGATCATATTTGTCTTGTGTGGGAAGGGGCAAAAACATCAGTGTAGCTGAGGCTGACAGAGCCAGAGGCAAGTGGTAGGGGAAGAGATGAGAGAGCTATCAGGTCTGATCATGGAGGACCTGGTGGGTCACTATAAAGACTTTGATATGTATTCCAAGGGAGACACAACCGATGGCAAGGCTTAGAATGGAGAAATGCTATGATTTGACTTATATTTATAGACCACCCTATCTGCTACGTTGAGAATATTTATGGGAGAATAAGGGAAGCAGTGAGGCCATGCTTCAGTATTGTGGAAAATGCCCGTGAAGTTGATGCCAAAATGCTTGCAATGGTGCTTTATGGAAAGTGTGTTGGAATAAGTGAATGATTTCAAATATTATCTATGTTCATGAATTTTGATAAGTCTATAACAAAATCAGTTGCAATAGTTACATCCCATAGATTTCGATTCCTTCTATTTCTATGGTATTTTGTTTAGGCTGATGATAAAACTTTTGGAAATGAAGATAATGGTCACTTTTTAAAACTATTGTTGGTTATATAGTCAAATCTTCCAGCTTTGACCACTTACTCATAATAAAAGATAACTGTTCTTTCTATTCTCATGTCTTTGAAGAACTATAAAGTACCCTTTCCAACTCTTCAAATTGTTTCCCATTGTCTCACCTTGCTCTTTTTTTTAATTGCCTTTCTCTTGTCTTCTTGCACTGTAGTTTAGTAAAGCTATGATTCTGGCTTTAACAAACATGCACTTGGTTTTGGTCATTATCAGAACATAACCTTGAATGCACAATTTCTCCCTGACTGTCACAAGCTTGCCTGAGACAGGCCTGCTTGAAAAAAAAAAGGTCAGTATTTCTCTCTCTCTCTCTCTCTCTCTCTCTCTCTCTCTCTCTCTCTCTTTTAAGTGTAGATCAATACTATCTAATAGAACTTCTTGCAATGATAGAAGCAATCTTTATCTATGCTGTTCAACTCTGTAGGACAAGCCACAAATGACTACTGAGAACTTGAAATGTGGCTGGTGTGACTGGGAAATTTAATTTTTAATTGCATTTAATTTTAATAATTTAAATTTAGGTATAAGTGGCCTCATGTGGCTAGTGGCTACTATATTGAATAGGTTGGTTCTAAATCCTTATTTTAGATCATGGCAGAAAACCAGGAGATTTTCCTGTCCTGTATTGTTTTTGTGTCTACTAGAAATGCTTCTCTTGAATGTCTTTTTTTTTATATTATGCCACAATCATTCATTAATGACATTTAAAAGAAGAAGTTCTATCAAAATTAATTGCTATAGTCTCTGAAAGGAAGTTGTTGAGGTCATTGGTAAGTATGTAATATGGATAGTATCCTATTACTCTGGCCTCTGTTCTAGGAAAATATATGGTTGCACTTTTTTTAAAACTTGCCTATATCATACTTTTTACTGTATTATAACATTCCATTTTCTATAGGGAGCCAAACTTATGATCCATCTCTAGTGAGTACATACCATATAAAGTCTCTTGAGCTATTTTCTTTGTGCTTATTTGACTCTTAAATTCTTCATCTTCTTGTTTCTGTCCTTATATCTTCTTTGCCTATTTTTATGCTTATCATAAATGGTTATTGGTGACATTTTACTCATTTCCATATTCCACAAACAAGTGGGATCACTTCCTGACTATCACAAATATGGCTGAGACAAATTTGCTTGAAAAATGGTTAGTACATCTTTTTTTTTTCTTTTCTTTTTTCCCCAAAAGACTGAATCTACACTGTTCAGTAGAACTTCTTATAATATTGAAAACATGTGTTTATCTATGCATTTCAACACTGTAGGACCAACCTAAAGTGGCTGTATTTTAGTATTGAGGGTTTTATGATTCTTTTTTAAAAAACACATCTATGACTTTGTTTTCAGAGTTAAACTGCAAAAGACTTGATAAAGTTTATGACATAGGGCTGGGGTTGTGGCTCAGTGGAGAGTGCTTGCCTCAAATGTGTGAGGCACGAGGTTCGATTCTCAGCACCACATATAAATAAATGAATAAAATAAAGGTCCATCAACAACTAAAAAATATTTTTAAAAATTTATGACAGACTATCATCACAGTTCGTGATGGGTTGTAAAAGTTTGAATTAATTACTTCATTCCTGGGCTTAATGAAAATTCTATTTATCACTTGGAAAAATATCCATCACTTGTTATGCGTATGAGAGCTGGCTGAGTGGTAGAGAGTCTTCATTTAGATAATTATTGTCAAAACATGAATTTAGGTATTTTGATTCATCAATTCACAAGATGAGAGGTGTTGGTGTTTCAAGATGTGTTCTAGTGTTCTACAGAGCAGTGAATAGAGGAAATAAAGGAGCTGAAGATTTGATGCAGGTGAATCTCCCAGAGTTTAAAAGGCAGAGACAATGCTAGGTGTTTGTTAAATAATTTCCTTTTCTCCTAGACACAGAATCAAACCTCATTTTCAACTCTTCTTGCAAATATGTTGGTACCATATCAGAAAAGTTGGTTTATTTATTTTCCTCTCAGAATTTCTAACTCAAAGCAATTCTTTCTCCCCTTATCCCTCTCTCTCAGCTCATTCTCTTGTACTATCTCTCCTGGATTTACTTATTTTGAGTGTATTGTGAGATCTTTGTTATAAATTCACTCATTCCCCCAAATACTATGCTACTTATCTTTATATTTTCTTTATGTTTCTAAAATGGTTACATTGCTTTCTTTTTGTCTCTATTTTACCAGAGCTGTTGCTCCCTTTTTGCACTATACTACATAATTTTCCTTTTGCATCTGAGGCAAATAGTGCCCCAGTGATGTGCTAAAGTGTGTCTGTACTAGCTCCTGATAACTAAGTGTGTATATCTCTTCTTAACTCTGTTTTCAGTGATGTCATGTTGGTAATTTGAAATCACCAGTAGTGGGAATATTTACATCATGGAAATTGGCAAAGCCCTACATATTGGAATACTTATTTTCCACAGAGCCAGTTGGTAATTGGTTACCAACACACTACTGATGATAGTCCAAAGACATGCTATGTCAGCTGAAAGTTGAAGGTACAGGGAACATGAATTCAGTGTTACAGATGGGGGTCTATGAGGTGGACAGCAATAATAGCAGTATTTTTCTTTTTTTGCAGTATTGGGATTTGAACCCAGGGATGCTCTTCCACTGAGCTATACCCCTAACACTTTTTATTTATTTATTTTTGAGACAGGATCTTACCAACTTGCCAAGGCTGGACTTGAACTTGGCAATCCTCCTGCTTCAGCCTCCCAAGTCTCTGGGATTACAGGCATGCACCACTGTGCCTGGCTTGATTTGCTAATTCTTAAGAGGCGAAGTCTCTTGGGTAAAGGAAGAAAAGGTGCTTGCTTTTCTAGTGAAATTTTTGCTTGATTCCTATTTCGGGTAATATTTTGTTATGACTTGTCAGTGAACCAAGAGTTATATTATCTTCAGTGAAAGGGGAAAGAAGTTGGGCTTGGAAATATGAAAATCATAATATATAATATCTAGGAGAGCTGAACAGGTAACAAATTAAGGTGATTCTCCTCTCACCCCAAACACAAAATTATTTTACATTATATTTACTGAGGAAAAGTAAAGTAAGAGACACCTCAATCTTCACAATTGCCTCTATATGCTAGATGTAAATTACTATTACTCAGGTAAATAACTA